CCGTGCTGCAGCGCTGCGGCCCGCGGCCCTGCAGCCGCCTGGGGAAGGGGCTGCAAACGGGGTGGGGAGGGGAGACGGGGTGGGTTTGAAGTCAGGCATCCCTCCTCCCTTCCCCGTCGCGTTGCTTTGCCTGTGCCGGTGATGGGAGAAGGGGAAACTCCTGCGGATGCAGCGCTGCTGTTTAACGGCCAGGGTGATGGGGTACAGCGTGCCATCTCTTTCAGTACCCGACTATTTAGGTTTGCTAAGCTGGGTGTTTGGTACCCTCCAGCATTACCTCCTCCGGCAAGCGAGGGGAAAGACTTAGTGCATTGGGAAAAGCTGGGGAGCTCCAGGAAAGCGTCGCTAAGCAAGACGGGGAGGGGAGAGAGCTGCTTTGCATCCGAGCTGTATTACAGGCACAGAAGTGCCTGAAAATAGCCTTTTCTTTGCAGGGGTTTGAGAAAAGGGAGGGAGAGCGTATGGAAAAACTCCTGCCAAACTAACCAGCTGCGGCAGGCCAGGCAGGCAGTGCCCGGTGCTGGGCAGAATAATACTCTCTTCTGCTCACGCACAAGAATAATTTCTTCTTCCTTTCCACCTTCCTCAGGAGCACTTTGCTTTTTGCAATTTCTCTTCTTTCCCTCTGATCCTCGCCTGCCTTGTGCCCAGTGCTGGATCCTGAGCACTTGCGGGGACGTCTCATGTTAGAGCTGATCAGCCAGGGACGACCCTTCTGGGGCGGGTTTGCCGGGCTGGGCAAGGCTGTTATTAAGCCAGCCGGACTGCACGTCGCGTGGTGTGGTGGGACAGCGATGCTGGGAAGGGGCGATGCTGCTAACAGGGATGCAGGCAGCAGCTTGGCCAGTGGGTACAAACTCGTCCATTGCCATGGACCTGCCATTCAGGAAAGGCACCGAGCTCCCACGCCGCGGGAGGGAAGCCCTCGTCCCCGTGCGTGCCACGGTCAGGGCACAGGCAGTGCTGCTCTTACCATGCCCTGACCTTTTTGCTGATAAGATCTCAATTTTGGTTGCTTTTTGCTGAAATTCTGCTAAAACGGCTGTAGCTCTGTCTCAGGGAGGAGGTGAGGGGGGAATCCCTTTTGTCCACGTTAATATGTTGAAAACTTATTGGCCCTAAAAACAGTCACTGCTCACGTGTACTCTGCAAAGATTTCCCAGATTTTTAATGGCTCCATTTCTGGAAGGACTTATTCATCAGGCGAGGGGCAGCCTGGACCTTCCCTGAATCCACAGCTCTGCCAGCTGAGCTGTGCCTGAGGAGAGGACGGATGGGAAGCGAGAGGAGAAGAGAGCATGGCTGCAAAAGCCTGGGAAAACATCAGTGTGATCCCTCCTGACGGGTTTCTAGGGGACACAATCAACTGGCTCTAAAAGAAAAACCCTACAGCCACCACCAACAGCGCAAAAAACAACCCGAAGAAATTACCCACGCCTCCCAGCTCGCTCTTAACGACCAATATAAGGTCACCAAGCCAAACCACGTGCAGTTAGGAAATGCCAGAATTAAGGTAGCCGTGGTAACCTCGACTCAGGCTGCCTTTGCTGTGCGCGGTAAGCAGCAGCCCTCCCTGCTGGTTTTCCTGCCCCGGCCCCGGGCAGGGCACCGGAGCAGCCTGCCTACGGAGCAGGGGGGACCTTGGGACGGCTGCCAGGGGCTGCTCTGCTCCCAGAGCTGGAGGGGAAGGGGCTGAGCCAGGCAAGGAGAGGCTGCACGATAAAGAAACGCTTTTGGGGTGAAGAGAGGTGAAAACATCACTTCGGAGCAGGGGATGAGAGCCCTGGCCCCTAAGCCTTGCAATAAGCACGGGGATTCACCCAAGTTAGGGTTTTCTCAGATGTCGATCCATTTATGTTTGCATTTCCCATTGCTGAGTGCAGACCTGGCTCTGACCCACGGATGCAGCCACGTCTCCCCAGAGCCTCCAAGCTCTGACCGGGCTGATACAGTCCTTGCCCTGAGCTCACCAGCATCGCAGCTTTGAATGCCCAAGCCCAGGCGATGCAAAGTATTCCAGAAACAAATCACATCTCCCAAGTGCCTCAAAGCCAGCACTCAACTCTAGTGGAAACCTCTGACCTTATTCCCACCGTATCTCGGCTCGTTGCCTGCAAGGGGATGTGCATGGATCCTGCAGGAGCCATCTGTCCCCTCTGGGACCAGGCTGGGTCCTGGCAAACCAGCACTGGGAGCTCACCTACGTAAGCATGCCCCTGCACGGAGGGTACGGCTGGGGCACGGACAACCCGAGTTCGAGGACTCCTTAACCTCTGAGCACTCGGCCTTGCAGTTCTCTCAGCGTTTGCTTGAGGTTGTTTCCTCCTGCGTAATTTGGATGGCGAGATGCTTGTCTCTTCTGACGCAGCATCTCGCTTGCCACTGGCCTCATCTCCGCCGGGGCGTCTCATAGTTTCCAATTAGTGATTAAAGACATGTCGCTGATGTCTCCTCTCCCCTTTTTTGAATGTTTTACCAACGAATGTCTGGCTGCTGCCTACGCAAACCTGCGTGGCTTTGGGATGGTGGCTGCAAGAGCAGACCCAGAGACCCTGGCAGTCCCTGCAGCCCTGCCTTCTCCCCCTTAAGCTGTTAATTTTAAGTTGGCTCAATCCAAATGCATACTTGCCAGGAGATTGCCCAGCCACGGACCAGTCTAACAGCTCTCCATCACTCTTCTAACTCCCACATCTCTGTAGGAAAGTCAGCGTAATGAAGCTTTACCTCCAGCATACAGGCTAGAGCAGGAAGGGCCAAGCCAAGCCGTCGCGTTGCAGAGGGTTGGCACAGCAATATTCCCCCGGTCCTCGTCTCCGAGCTGCGGAGCTGCCGGCCTCAGGCACAGCCTGTCTGGGACCGGGACCGGGTGCAGGAGGCTGCTCGGGAGCAAAACGATGGGTGCAAACTGCCTGGGGATGTGAGTTTGGGGGGGATCTGACCCGGTGGGGAAAGGAGAGGACAGTCGCCATCAGGTGCTCGGTAAGAGCTCTTACTGATGAGGCTTTGGGAAGCTGGTTTGCATCACTGTTTCAGATCTGGCTGAGAAACCCGCGACATGTCTGAACCTGAAACCAGGTCAGAAGAACGCCTAACCCAAGTGGATTTTCGGCACAAGCAGGATGAGGGCGATAGACTTCGCCCCTGCAAAAAGAAAAAGACAATGCTAGTGCAATACTGCAGCTCCACAGAGAATTACCTGGGCGGAGGTTCAACCAATTATCTATTTTCTTTGGGGGAGAGGGAACAATCAAAAAACCCCAGATGACAGTCAATTCAGCAAAACCACTTTTCGGGGGAATAGCGAAGAACCAAACCCCAGCAGCTTGGGGGGGAGGATTTTGGACCTTCTCTAGTGTGCGGTTATATATCGCTCCCAGGAAAGCTTCATGCAAGGTGTGTGTGTGTTCCCTACAGGCGTCATCACTGGGGCCGTGGTACTGCATGTACGTGGTACTACCTGTGCTAGATTTCTTTGCCAGACGGTTTTGCACTTCAGTTCAGGGCAGTCCTTTGCAGATATAAATCCCACCTCTGTGCTTTGCCTGCTGGCAAAGCAGACAGACTCCTGTCACCCTGTGTCACAGAAAACATGGCTGGGAGGAACTTGGACATCAAAGCAAGCCAAAAATCCATCAGGTTGGACAGAGGGTGGCTGTCTGTCCAGCTTCCAGGTGGTAATCACCTGTGTCACTTCTCTGTGTCATCTTGTGCACTGCAGGGAAGATGAGCACAGAGGATGCTGGCAACGGGACCTCTCCCACCCCACCTCTCCTTGGGCTTCTGGTTTCAACCACTGAGCTGGTCCCACCCATTACCGCATCCCCTGAGAAGGCAGACCCGCTGGCCATCATCATCGCGCTCATCTGCATCTTCCTCCTCCTGGCGACCTTCCTCATCTTTGTCACCCTCTGCAAGCCGGCGGCGCTGGACCAGTCCCGCTCCGGGCCCCGCGAGTGCATGCCTCATCACCCGGCGGATACCAGTGAGCCCCAGCTGAGGCTCTGGAAGCGACTGGGCTCCCTGCGATGCTCCATCAACACCTTCAGGAGGAGTCGGCCGGTGTCCCAGAGCCAGCTCGCCTGCCCC